GATCCCTGTACCAAAAAAAAAAAAAATACTGAATCAAACAATTTTAAAAAATAATCAGACCACACACAAGACATAAAAAGTTGATATATCTTTTTATTTTTTTTAACTGAAAATAACCGAATTGAAGTGAGCGATACTATTCGCCAAATTTAACTACATAATCTTATTTGAAACATTAGGTAAATTAATCCACAAGTACATACATTTATTTAGAAAATAAAATAAAATAATATGTCTGATTATTAGATTATTCGATTTTTCACTAATCTCAACGAAAAAATTTGACCTACTCACAATTGCAATACAACTGATAGAAGATTTTCACCGTTGAATCAATACACACACATACGCATAAGAGTCGGTATTCATTCAATCAACCTCATAAAAAAATCATCCGATGGTTCCACAGAATTTTTTTTATCAGTTTTGCTATGAAGTCATCCTTAACATGCATTTAATAAGTTATAAATAAAATAAAAAATTATAATTCACTTATGCCCCCACAAAAACCCAAGGTCCAAACGCGTAGAGGATTGGATCATGCTACATGTACCCCTTAGTGTACCACTTGGTTTACATCCAAGGGGTACATGTACTCATTTATCCTTAATGAATAATTTATTTAAATTATTCATTAAGGATAAATGAGTACATGTACCCCTTGGATGTAAACCAAGTGGTACACTAAGGAGTACAAATAGCATTATTAGTAGAGGATTACCCTAAACAACGGCCCATCAACACTTAAGTGGTAATTAGAAATGAGGAAATTGCATGCCATACTGTCATGCTTAAACTATTTATCACTTTTGCACCCCTTTTATTTCTTTTTTTAAAATCACCTAAACCACATAAAAGATTTTCAATTATGCCTAAAAACCTTATTAACCGTTATTAACATTTTTAATAATGGTAATGATATACTTAAGTCAAACTAAATATCCACTTACCAAAAAAAAGTGGAACTAAAAGGTAAAAGTAGTCATCCCTACCAACACACGTATCCCTTCATCTTCTCAAACCGCTCAACAGTTTCGCAGATCTCAAAATTCCCTTCAATGGCAAAAACCAAAATCCCTCCTCCTCAACGAAAAAATCCGGCGGATGGTGGCGACGTTTCACCAGTTATTAGATCTATCGAATTTCGATTGCCCTCCGCCCGCGAACAGCCACCCCCGACGCGCCCCTCCTCCGGCGATTCCTAGTTCGCGCAACACCGGCGAGTTTACCCTCCTGCTTGAGTGGATGACAAGAAGAATCCGTCTCGTGTTCCCTAGAATTTGCCCCTTTTTTCTTTCTTTTTTTTTTGTATGATTTGATTATAATTCGAAGGTATTTTTACAAAACCGAGTTGGGTATATGTTGGGTATATCCGAGTATATCCGAGGTAACTTTTCTCTGCTTATCTGTTTTAATAATTCCTTTTTTTTTCTTGTGTTATATGTTGGGTATATCCGAGTATATCCGAAGTAACTTTTTCTCAGGTTATTGATGGGTATAATATCCGATGTAACTTTTCTCTCTATCCGAAGTATCTTTTCTCTTTCTATGATATACACTTTTGTCACTGACTTTCTGCACCTGTTACACATTTTTAGTATATTTGAAGTATATTTTTGGTGTATGTTCGGCGGAAATTCCCCCCAAAATTTCAGAATTTTTGGTGTTTCTATATACTTTTATGTATAAAAGTAAAAATATATATATATAATTTTTTTTGTGGAAGACTTGTTTTTTATTGCACATATACTGAATATGTACTAACATAA